TGTAGTTTGTTTCATAGCTTAAAATGCGGGAGAGAGATCATTACAAAAGGTGCAAGTCCATGGGTTGCAAATTCTCTAGGCTCGTATCAGGTGTTGTTTACTTAGGCCATAAAAAATGATGCTGTATAAACATTTCTGAACAGAACTGGTGTATGCCAGCTTAATACTAATATGCATTCTTTTTCCAATCTTCCCCCACTTTCCTTCAGTGTACTGCAATATATTAATGTATTATAGGAATAAAGCAAACTAACTTGTTTAATCTAGTGTCTCTTTTATTTAGTTTTATTGTCCATATGCTCCTTACTTTGTGATCCTAATCCAGATGATCCTTTAGTACCAGATATTGCACAGATCTACAAGTCAGACAAGGAAAAGTGAGTATAATGTATATATAATTGTGTATGTGGTACTTGCAGATGGTTTAAGTGCCTTCTATCTTAACTTTAGCAATACTTTTTTCATAGATTTCTACAGGATTAGGATTAGATTTTCAAATCTTGAAAATAGCTGTGGCAAGTAGAAAACTGTAGGTATTGTGTGTGCCTACATAGGTGTTGCTGGGTACCTAATTTTTTGTACTTAGTTACATAAAACCATCACACTTCTGTGTGTCATCTTATATTCACTGCATGAAAAAACATTTCCCAAACATGAGTTATTTCTTGCTACTGCAATCCTCTGTTTGTAAAACCTGTACAGAAGAATTTTTGGCTTTTTGGTTAACTGAGTTTTTTGGTACCTGTTTTTTGTGTTGTATTCAGTATTGAGCCACTGAAGACTTCTTTTCAGTGTTATACTAGTGGCCTGTGGCTCATCACATGTCACAGGTTCAGGAAGATTTGAGTATTGTTTTTACCTTGAGCAGTGGATAAAAAGAGTGATGTAGAAATTATATGGAAGTCTGTGGTCTAGTATTTCTCTCCCTAGAGTAAGAATTATTAAAATGGCCTCTTTCTGGCAGTTCACTGTCTGGCACAGTCAAATCATGTAACTCACTTTTGGACCACTTGAACTCTGTAGCTTGTTCTGCAAAGCAGACAGTGTTAAAATTGAGGATGTTATGCATCAGCTTCTCCCCATTTGTGTCTCAACTTTTGTCTACCTACCTACTTACTAGTGATTTCAGCTATTGTCCCTCCTGTTTGTGAAGGTGTTTTCTCTCCAAAACTCAAAATTTAATCGTTGCTAGAGAAAGTGAGAAAATGTGTAGTCTTGACCATAGCTTTATCTTCTGCTGATCACCTATTAAATTACTTTTATCTCATCTTGAATTTAGGAAATCAATTATATGGCTGGTTACCCCATAGCATTTATCTGTGAATATTTCAGTATAAGTTAAGATCCTAAGGACTTGTATGGTAGCATATTCTTAAGAAGAAAACCAGTTAGTTCATGAGTTGTTATACTGATCTTAAGAAACAGATTTAAAATTTTGTCAGCATTTTTCTCTGGATGACCCAGAAGAAAGTGAATCTAGTCTGAAAAGTGGAATGTGGCAAACAGAAAGATCAGAGAGGGGAAGTTATGAACTCTCTAATGTCGTTTATCTTTGGGGTTGCTCATCAGCTTCATACCAGAAGGAAAAGACTTAAAATCTAGTAAAAAATGCTTTTCAGAAAATTTTCCTTTCAAGTTCTGAAATGATGATGGCAGGGCAGAAGGGAGAATAAAACTCCAGTTAATTATACTGAACTTTATGCAACTAAAACGTCTGAACTTTTGTCAGACCATTAATAACATTTGCATTTAGGAATAATTAACAACAATCTCCTGTTAAGGTACAAACAAAGGAACCAGTTGTGAAATGCAAATTAAGTAGGCACAATGATGTGCATTTTAATGCAAACCTGTGAGATTGGTTTTGAGTCCAAATAGCTGTAATAGGTAACCTTAGAAACTGAACACACAGTGGGTATATTTTTTTTTTTTGGCTTTTAGACTATTTTAACTTCTTCGACTCAATGCTCAGAGGTGAAAAGCTCAATAACACCTGTATTAAGTAAATACGTGGCCATTGTCAATGTATCACTAACAGCTCTTCACTGTAATGCCTTCTTTCTGCACATACAGATACAACAGACATGCAAGAGAATGGACTCAGAAATATGCAATGTAAACTTGTGAAGACTTTTTCATATACCACAGAGTACTGTAAATTCTAGGGTTTTTTTTTTTTTCAAAGTTAGAAGGAAATGGAGCACAATTTATGGTTTTGATGTTACCATGACTCCCCTTGAATTTTTTTTCACCCATGTAAGTGTGTTTTTGGAGCAAGGGAGAATAAACTTCCAAAAATAACCTTATGACTGTGATAAGAATATTTATCCTCTTTGTATGCTTTGCAGAAGACATTTATTATGGTTTTTAAGAGTTGGACATCTGCATCTTCAGACTACAAGATCTGTAATGCAGTTGTAAAGCAACCCAATTATTTTTGCTGGGAAAAGTAGCTGGTTTTATGTGATGAATACTGTATGTTTGTCATTGAAGTATGTTGTTGTTTCATAAGTGTATTCAAATTTCTTTTTGTTAGTTCACTTAATAATTTGTATTTTTTTACTGTATAGACTAAATATTTTATTTACAATGTCAGTAATTTCATTTTAGACTTACTTGCGTGTGCACAGTATTGACAAGATACAACTGCTAGTAATGAAAATAATTGGAGTATCCCACACATGAGGATATTCTAAAGATTGACTGCAGATTTCTTAAAACCTAAAATGATCTTTGCACTGTAATTCTTTGTTTGCTGATTATGGAGAAACACTTCGTTTTGATTCTGTTGCATACTTAATTTTATTGCAATGAGAACTAATTGCACTGCCATGTAGAGAGATATGTACCCATTTTGTTGCTATTCACAACTGATTTTTGATGTAACACTATCCTTTTGACCTTTTACAAATCCAAATGTAGCCTTTTCCATATAAATAAAATGCATTTTCTACTACTTTTCTTGGTGTTTTTTTTTTATTTTATTTTAACTCTTGTGTATCTTTAAAGTACTTGTTCTGACATTAGAGAATCACCAATAGTATATGTGCATGTGTCTTACAAAGAGAAGGACAAATAAAGCTGTGCATCATGTACTACTTAGAACTGGGTTGCAATTAATTTTTATGTTAGCTTTAGCCTAATGGATTTAGCATGCTCTCCCCATTGCTGAATGTAGGATTTCAAGTAGTTTAAGGCCATTTTACACCTATATTCATCTATGGAGGAGATAACAGCAAGTGTCTCAACATCAACCCCTTAGTTAAGGTGATGTATTTGCAATATCAGAACATTACAGTAAACTCCTCACACTTGAAGGTAACTTTTCCATGAACTGGCACTTCAGTTGCTTCAGAGTATGCATGTGGAAAAACAGCAGTGCTGGAGAGGGGCAGTCTGTTCTTAAAAGGTAGATTAGAAGCAGAAAAACTCTGATTTCCTACTGTGCATTCTTCTTGGTTATCTGAAAATAAAAATGGGTGACTAAATGTTTTCCTCTGTACCTCGCACATGAAAGAAAACTGACTTCCAGTTGGGAAATTTGTCAACGTAAAATATATTTTTAAGATGAGAAATATATTTGATTTGGGTTTTTTTTATTATTTTAATATATGCTAAATTGGAATTTAGGATATGAGTGGTAAGCGTGCACAGTAGGAGCTTTTTCCCCTACCAGTGGAATATTAATCTTTGTGTTTGCCAATTTACTGACCTAAAGGGTCACATATGGGAAAATGTAATTTCTGTGCTGCAGTTTTATGTATGATGTAATGATATTTGAAACAACAGATTTATCGAGAGTGGCTCTATTAATCTTAAAATATCCCTGTTCAGTCTGCAAACTGAATAAATGGATTTTTTTGTTATAAAGTGCTTCATTATATGTGACCCAGGACAATGTAGCTAGGAAGGCAAAGCCATCATTTACACTTCTTACTCAAATGGTGGTAAAAAACTTCGACCATCACAATGTGTTCCCAGAGCTTTTATTTTTTCTGGATCAGTAGTAATCTGTTTGTATTAGAAGTTATTTAAATGTTTGCAATACCTGTACTGAACTGTATGAAAACTGGAAGTTTGACTTGTATTTTGAGATCCTCACTTTGTTTTGGTTTATCAGTTTGTGTTAGGGGTGGTTTGAAAACATTTTTACTTTAACTGTTCATATTTCTGATGTGTTCCATGCATCTGAGAATGCCTTTGCCTCACAGTATGAAACCAGCAGAAGGATGTGAAACCCAACACCGTGTGGTAAGGCATGTTAAGCATTATGTAGATATTAAAAAAGGAATGTCTTAGCTTTACGCCTCTAAAACAGCATCATCATAAGTCTCTGATTCTTATGATCCTTGTAGCAGTTCAGCCTTTCTGCTTTTGAAATTATAGGAATGAAATTACGAATACATTATTCAGAACTTCACTCGTTCAGTGAGGTCGCTGGGTTCAATCTGGAGACAAACATCACTACTGCTCCTTCAGAACTCCGTTAATGCTTTTTATAGAAACGCTCTTTTAAGGCGGTAGGGGGTGCGGGGAATTAGAGCTGAAACATTACTCCCTTCCGTGTTGTTTACTGTGATGGGAAAAAAAAACCAAACAACTTTTTCCCCCGAGAACTGATTGGTGCTCTGGTGTGTTTTTAGACACAGCCGTACCCAAAACCTTGCCACTAAGAGGAAACCAGTGAAACCGTGCGGCTTTTGGCCACAGATCATCAGCTGAATTAGTTAATTAGCGCTTAGCGGGACTGTGTTTTAGTTTTCTGGACTGTGTTTTAGTTTTCTGGACTGT